GTTTGCATTCCTTTGTATAACTACAGACCTTGTCCCAAAAGACAATGTCATGTGACCATTACACAAATGCCATGTGACCTGCCAGTCATGCCGGTGTGACACAGGTTACAGGTATCTTATCCCAACCAATTGTGAGAGACAGTTAACTATAACACAAAAAGAATTTTCAAATTTTCTGTCAACATTGGAATTTGAACTTTGGACCTGCCACTTGAAGGTTGACAACCTGACCACTTCACTAGGTTACCACACCCCAAATAAAAAATTCTATTGATGATAAAACGTGTATTTTTCTTATATTCTACTAATATAAAAAAAAGTAATATTTAATAGTGTTTTCTAACAGGAATAACACATAAATAAAAGAACAGAGAAAAGTAATATTTAATAATTCTATAAACAATTATATTTACCATCTTACTTGAGAAAATCAAGTTGTTTTAATGAAGAGATTACATTGTTTCATCTCAAACATAAAAGCCAGTGCGTTATTATTTCAACGTGTTCGAGTTTTGATTGGTCAATAATCATAGGGTCAATTGACTTGCATGACCCAGGGACCGTCAGCTTGATTGATCTGCGGCATAAAATTTTTGGATAGACCAATCAGAATCACGGATGAACTGCTACGCGACAATAAATGCTTTTGTCGCGTATCTGTCATTAATAATTAAATAATATGAATAGTACTCTGTCAGGATTTTCTTCTGGCAGTGGGCGACGTATAAACCCTCTTTCGGAGGAGTCAATTAACAAAGCACGATCTTTTTTCGAAGAAGATCGTAAAGACCCAAATAATCTTCCCAGCTTTTCTTCTGGTAATGGACGCTATGTGAGTCCAATTTCAGAGGAATCTCTTAACAGAGTGCGGGGCCTTTTTGATGAAGATTCCAGAAATTTGTCGGAATTTTCTTTCGTTAGAACTCCAAAAAATCTGTCTGGGTTTTCTTCTGGTAGTGGACGTTGCATAGGTTCACTTTCGGAGGATCAACTTAATAAAGCGCGACGTCTTTTTGATGAGGAAGCATCACGTTCAAATTACATACATAAGTCGACTACTCCGAAGAGAACCATCGATAATACTTCTTTGCATACACCAAAAAAAAGAAAAATATTGCAACAAAATCAAAATATTATAAACAGTAAAGCTTGTTTGTCTGCGGTGCGGCCTATAGTTGATTCATCGGAGGCGGATATAAAACTATTTGATCTGACATGTGAGTTTTCAATCATTCTTTACATAATCTTTCAAGATGATATAAATCATTTAACTCTGTTCTTATATTAGTACCACCAAACAGACATAGACTTCAGGATATTGTGCATAATAATCCACTTAATATCTCTGCAACTAGCTTGAAAAAACTTGGAATGTAAATAGATTTTGATTTTATTCAAAACATATGGTATTTAATATACTAAAATAAAGTGCAATTTTCCATAAGACCTTCTGAAATTATTACTATGACGCCCGCTAGTGCCCTTTTGTATCGATTCATCTTATCTGGGGATCAATATTGTGAAAGCACCGAAGGCTTGTCGTCATGGGGCACAAGTGAAGCATATACTTGTCTTATTGAACGTGGAGCAAATCCAAAACTCATTGATGAGCGTTGGGTATGTAATCATTACCAATGGATTTTGTGGAAAATTGCTGGTATGATTCGGTCTTTTCCGCATAGATTTAATAGTTGGTGGTGTCCCGGTAAAGTACTTGAACAACTACGGTATAGGTAAGAAGAGAAGGATTTTTTGTTTCGATTAGAAGTGCTATAAGTGTGTACACTTCCCAGATCAAGGATAGCTACATCTTACATCGCATAAAATTTGGGTATCCATATTCTAACGTCCGCGCATTATCTTTAATGTTATAACAAACGATATCAAAATTGCTTCATTCAAGATATGAAAGAGAGATTAATTGTGCACACCGTTCTGCGCTCAAATTAATCATAGAAGGTGATGGAAATCCAAGCTGGCCTATGGTTTTATGTGTGTCCAATATATTTGAAGATCCTAACGTTCAAATAACGATTCCATCAGGTATGTTAATTTGAAGTTATACGCATATTATATTAATTCACATAGCTTATTACTTTTTTTTTTTGTTATATAGAAAAAAGAGCCGAAGCTTGTCAAATTAAATATGGACTCGAGTTGACAGATACATGGTATAAAATTCGGGCCAGTATTGATCAACCGCTTCAGCGTGCCATTATGAGATCAAAAATACGGATCGGATATAAATTAGAAATATATGGGGCCAAAGTATTTTTACTTCTCAGATATTAATGAGCATCCTTTTGGATCAAATTAAATAATAATATGTTGTTTACTTCATAGATTGTAGGGGGATCCACTGGGTTACCTGCTCTCGATATATCGAGCTCTCCTATTCGATTAGACATTTCGGCGAACTCTACTAAACTTGCACATTGGGATGCAAAATTAGGGGTTGGGCGATTTCGTTCGTACGCGTTATTACATAGTCTTTCGCCCGATGGCGGATTCATTCCTGCGATTGATGTAGTAGTTCAACGGAAATACCCTTTACTTTTTCGCGAGATGACGAAGGATGGAATTACAATTATACGTAATACAAAGGGTGAAGAATATGCTATGAAGGAACATGAAGTATGTGGATGTTTTTTGGAAATAATATAAATGTATCGTATAAGATATGAGTTCTTATGATAATTACTGTAGATGAAATTCAGTGCATTGATTGAGTCACTGATAAGTAAATTCGAGAGATCATACAATGATGATATAAAAAAAACAAATCGAAAACGCTTATCAAAAAAAGGTATGGAATGCTACTAAAAAGATTTATGTAATGCATAGTATGCTTAGTAAAACTTTCTTATCGTTTAGAACTTCAGAACATTACAGCCGGTGATGAACTTTATGCCCTTATTCAAAATGGCGACATTACTGAATTTTCCCAAGAGCTAAGTTATTTACAGATTGAACGACTTCATGAATATATCCAACGGAGAAATGAAGAAAAAGCCGCCAAGATGGGTCAATGGATTTCCGAACAATCTGTGGTAATTTGATCATATTATAGTAAATTCATTATCTAATGAGTGTTAAAATATAATTTGTTCCTTGCATTAGTATATAGAAAATAAACGTACAGTTACGACTTTTTTTAAAATTCGCGTGTGTGATTACCATCCGTGTTCATCATCTATTCGTGGACGTGACGCTATAATCACCATTTGGAATCCTGATGAATTTTTGATTAATTATCTGCAAGAAGGACGTCGATATAAGGTGAATATTCACAGTTAGTTAGGCATGTTATATGTTATTCCTTTTAACAGGAATTTTTTTTATACAAGATATACGCATTAACAGTAGCCAAAAACCAAGGATATCTATTACCGGAATTGTTACCGATACGGTTGATGTCAATCGGAAGGACAACTATTTGGAAGGAAATTGCTATAGAATCGAATATTACTACGTCATATATGCCGCGAACTGTAATGCTTTGCAGTGAACTTGATAAGATGAAGTACAATGATGAAGTCGATATAGTCGTAACGCTTCTGGGTAATATATAAATTTATCTGCAATAATGGTATTTATGTCGAACAGTTTTAAACATTATAACTCGTGATTGTATTAGTTGTAGGCGAGCCCTATTCTAGTGACAAATTCGGAAAACAAGTCCAATTTCAAAACATTTTAGCACTTGATAGTAGTGAACAAATCGTGCAAATAGAAGTTAAAGACTCGATATCAGTCGGTATAGGCAAAATATTGAAGGTATACCATTATACATATAAATTGAATTCTATTTAATTTAATGAACGAGACTAATATTGTTTTTGAACAGCCTAAGAATATTCTCGCTTTCAGCAATTTGCGATATCGTGACTATGATCCGAAGTACGCAGTTTACATTTTATCTTCATGTGATGAAACTGAAATAAGGATGTCACCACGTGAAACGTATTTAAGGCAGGCTATCAACGATTTAGAAAATTGGATCACGAGTAATGCTTCAATTATTTCCAAATACGAAGCAATTGCAATGGAGCTTTGTAAGTCTCCATTTGATCATGACATTCCCTAATTTCTGAATAACAATGAGAGTTATTCGCATTTGTAAATTATAAACAAGAATCATATGACGTGTATTTTTTATTCGTTATTAAATACCTGATTTATTATTAGCATTATATGAATTAAAGTCTTGATAGAGAAACGTGGCTGAATATTTGTAATACGTAGACAATCTTCAGACATATATTTTGTGTTATATCGATATTAATTTACATAGTTTTAATTTTGGTCTCTATTTTTTAATGTGAATTTTTATACGTAAGTGGTGGCTCTAGATTAGTTGTTGAAAAAATTCTGAGAATACGTGGCTTGTATTAAATTACATTAAGGTTTTTTGTTTGCACACATATATTAGAGGCGTGATCAAAATTCAGCAAAATTTTAAAGCAGATTTGTATTGATATATAGTATTATTTGATATATATTGATTAAAAAATAATTAATATATGTGGGTGAGTCAATAGAACGCATCAAATCTTTTTTAGTGAAATATTTTTGCAACTTTAAACAAAGGTAAATTGACAAGAAATTATTCAAATTTAATAAAAAATTTTTTAAACAAATTTTATAAAAATTTAGAATTAATTTAAAAAAAATTTATTAAATATGGTTAAGTTCTTGCTAAGTTATTTGGACTTAAAATTTTAAAAAAATTTACTTTAGAAAAAATGTGTTTTTATTAACTCACTCTCATATATAGAGTAATTGCTATATATTAGGAATGATTAAAGTCATGTACTCATATTATGTGATTATATAAAAATATAATAATTATATATATATATATATATGTATATATATTATATATTTAAAGTAATTTTTTTAGTTTTTTGACTTTTATTAATAATTTTTTTGGTAATATGATTTTATAAACCATTACAAAAAAAGTGTACAATTGGGTATATATGTAATTTTTTTATATTACTTATTTAAGAAATCTGTTTGAAAGTTTTTTATCAATTGTTATACTTAACATTCCTGTTTTAATATTTTATTTTAAACCTTTTAAACCTGCAATTTGTATTAATATTATTGGATCAGATTCTGATTATTGTTTTAATTTTAGAAGTATTTTATCCTTAAAATAAATCTTTTAAAAACTTTTGTAATCATTTTTATACTTAATTTGGTATTACTTTAACAAAACCAATACTTATAATCAAAATTAGTTATTAAATTGTTGTATTTTTAAAGAGTTTACTCAAACTCTAACAACATATCTATAGTATTTTAGTATATTCTTGTTTGTTTTTCAGATTTTTAATTTAAATAGTCTAAATAAGATTATGATCAATCTATTGTTATATTAGATTAGTCTAATATTCTTTTTTTTAGTTTATTCTAACAATCTAATTAGTAGTACCTTTTACCTAAAGGTTTTTGATTATTCAAATATTTTAATATTGATATTTGTTTTTAATAGTCTAGTCTTTATAATAGCATTATCAAAGATCTGTATTATTTTTTTAATTAGATTATTTCAAATAAATTTTTTATTTTCTAATTTTAATAAATTTATACAGTTATAAAGACTTATTTAGAGTTTGCTCTACTTAATATTAGTTTGTATTTTTCTATATAATCAGTTATACAGATACTTTATGACTTGATCATCATTACAAATATTTTAATCTAATTATTAAAAATAGTTGGTATAATATGAATATTATATAAATGATTATTTAAATTTTTATTTTTGATAAGATTTGAATACTTAATTTATTACTTAAAGGATTAACAACATATTTATTTCACTAAGTAATTATATTTCTAATAATTATATATATATATTTTTTTTAGTATTAAAGTAATCTTTTTGGTCTTTTGATTTTTATTAATAACTTTTTTGATAATGTAATTTTATGAACTACTACAGAAGAGAGTACAATTGATTACATATATAACTTTTCTATATTACTTATTCAAGGAGTCTGTTCAAAAGTTCTTCATCAATTGTTGTATCTAATACTCTTGCTTGAGTGTTTTACTTTAAATTCTCTAAATCTGTAACTTGTATTAATTTACTAGGTTATACCCAGATGTCTAGATCATTATTTCAACTTTAAAACTAATTTATTCTTAAGGTAAATTTACTATAGCCTTCTGTATATATTTTTACAGTTGATCTAGATATTGCTATAACAGAACTAACACTTATAGTCAAAGTTATATCATTTAATTACTGTGTCTTTGTAGAGTTTATACAGACCTTAGTATCTACTTTATAACATAACTCTAATACTTTAGTATATCTTTGCTTTTTTATCTTTTAACCAAACTCTCAATTCAGATAACCTATGTAAAACTATAATCAGTTTATTTTTTTTATTTTTTTTAACATATAAGCAGTCACGCTAGTACTTTATTAACTTTTTGGAATTACATTTGTAACTATATAAATATCCCTAATATCTAAGTCTAGCATCAATCAGCCATCTTACTAGTACCTAAATGCAACCTGCCACATTACTTCGAGCAGAAGTAAGCTGCTTGTCTGACTACTTAAAGTCTATAATAGAAGGGTCTTCT